AAATACGTGGCCAGTAATTTAGAACTCCATGACAGAGCAGAAAAGATGATTAATTTCATTATCTTTAGCACAATGAATTTTGTGATTTTTTTAATATCCTTGAAAAGAAAGTCAAAAGCTAATGATATTAAAGTATTAATGAAAATAATGGGTTAGAATTCATGTAACTGCTCTCTGACCATCCCCCCAAATTATTGGTTTAAAATGGAGAACAAAGTTATTTTCACTTTCCCAAAAAAAATAAGACTTTCTTTTAAATACCATGGAGTATTTAGACTCTTAAACAAAAAAATCAGTTTGTCAATTTTTTTCATCAGTGCACTTATTATAAAACTCTAAAGATCAAAGCATAAACACGTAGGGAAACAATACAATTGGAGTATCATTTTGAAAATTTAAAGTATCAAATCTTTTGTGAATAGCATTTGCTGGACAAGTTGTGCAAAGAAATAGAGAAGGATCTGCGACTTTCTGTGCATACTCATTTAAAGCTGGATGACCGAAACCCTTTCAAAGTTGGCATGAAAGACCTGGCCCTTTTTTTCTCTCTGAATCCAATTCGGTTTTTTAATCGTTTTATTGACATTCGAGGTAAGTGTTCTGTTTTTCTTCTTAGAGTCATATTATATGTATATTTTAACCCTAACTATTTAAAGAACAAAATAAAACTTTGAGGGTATCTTTTTTTTTGTTCTTTTATTCTTTAATTCCTTTTTATTTCCTCATTTTTATTTACTAGCACCTTATTTTAAAGAAAGAAATTTAATGTTCAAAGACAAGGTGGTTTTTCCTTGTTTCATCTCTCTTCCTTTTGTATTGTCTCATGAATCAAAAATGTTTTGGATTTTTTTTTTTTGGGTAGCTTATGTAACTCACTACCTAGACAAGACTTTCTACAATCTAACAACAGTAGCTCTTCATGACTGGGCCACTTACAGTGAAATGAGAAATTTAGCTACTCAGCGTTATGGATTGGTTATGACAGAGGCACATCTTCCTAGTCAGACTTTGGAACAGGTATAGTATAAAATGTTTCTAGCGTATTCTGACTGTAGCACAACAGTATATCTTTAGGACATCTTCTTTTTACATTTTTTGGTATGTGTTTATTTTTTAAGAAGATACTTGCTGTGTAAAATGTCATACTTGAAAGAGTAAAAAATTTGATGCTGCTAATTTACCTTATGAAAGAATTTACCACAGGTTTCCTGTTTACCCTTGGCCTTCTGTTGAGCATTTGAAATACGTTTAGATTTATATACAGCTTTTCAGAAACATTAGGATAGTGAGGTGACTTCTGCAGAATTGTAAGAAGTTCAATCAAGGTCGCAGTTAAGGCTTTTCAACCTGGGCACGGTATATAAACTGTAGTATCTTAGGAAAAGTGGTTAAATTTATTTGATTACAAATGTATTTATACTTACAATGAAGAGTGCAAAGAAGCATTT